TCACAATCATTCTCCAAAAAGGCATGAACAATGTCATCATTGAAACAGATGCGATGCAAGTGGTTCAACTGATGAACGAGGAAATAGGTGACAACTGCCCATTTTTTAGGATGCTAGAATTCTGCTCCGAGGCTATCAATGCACCGTCCAACATGTATGGAAGGAAAGAAATCTTTGTGCTGAACCCTTGGCAAAATTTGGAGCTCAACAACCCGAAGACATGTAGGTAGTGAATGAACCACCAGCTGAAATTCGAAGTCTGCTTGTTGCAGACATGATTGGTCTATCTAGGGAACGGTCCTAGTCTCGATTGTCTGCTTTATTTTCCGATGTACCCAAAAAAAAGAGAAATATGCCCTATATCATCGGTATATAGAACTATGTTTTTAGTTTTTGAATCATTTTATTGATCTTCATCTTGATTTATTTTTCAATAATCACTTTATAAATAAATAGCAAATTATAAGCATTTATGTAGGCAGTATCACAAATAATGTAAAAAATAATAATTATGGATATTGAATTTTGACCTCACAATCAAATCGGATCTTTTCGTTGAAATCCTAAGAATTAAGCTGCAAAATACGTGCAGAAATAGAGAAACTCAATACCTGCACATAAGAAGATAACAAGACCGGTGACTTGTCTACCTGAGGACACTCTGACGATCAAGTCAATCAATTTATCTCTCAAAGATATCAAACAAGTACTAAACTTACCGAATAAAGCGTACCTTAGACCCACGAGGGTCCCTCACTTTTATAGCCAGCAATGCCCTAGTTCCCTAGAAGTGTCATTTCGCAGGACTCAAGTATAATGCTTATCTCAGACTCTTAGCTAGATAGTGATAAACTCCTTAAGAGCCTTATTCTTATCTAGACTAAGTATCCTCTCTTGTCTAGGACTCTTGTCTCCTATCTAAATATCTCGAATTTCGACATTACCGCAACGAACTTCAGTAATACCGTAGTCACCTCGGCAAACATGACCCGTCCATGTGGCACCTTGGCTGGCATCTCCAAGGCACCTTGGCCACATGGCGTCATTCTCAAAATACTTTTCCACAAGAACAATAAATTCGGAATATGGGGTGGAAAGTTTTCTTGTAAGAAATATCAAATTGATATATGTTAATTTGTCATCTATAGTCTTAAAAAATAAATAAATGAACGTACTAAATTTTAAAAGCTCAGATGGAGATACTCTATTAGTATTGTATTTTGTTTTCAGCTATGGTGGGTTCGTTATAGTTTTCAAAACAAAAACCTTTTTTGGGCAAAACCAAAGGTCCTCCGTAGAAGGTTATGGTTGCGTCCATTACCAATTCTGGGGGATAAATATGTTGGTTCCTCTTGTTATAATGGCTAGGACGCCAGTGTTTGTGGCTATCCTGATTTATGGTTTTTCAGTGCCATTTCATCCCTGAAACACCACATACATTTTTCGTACTTCATAATTTGAGTTTCGTTCACTTGTATAATTTATTTTTGGCCAGTTCTTACTGGTCTAAAGCTTTTTGGGCACTTAGTATTGAGCTTCCATAGAATCAATTACTACTAAAATTGTAACTTGATGTTAAAATGTTTTTTATTTTTTTCAAATACATATAATTATTTTGTTTTAGTTGTGAGTTGACAAGAAATATTTAGAATGATGTGTCAGGGTGTATATTTTTTTATAGATGATATCATGTTAGTTGATGAGATTACAAAAGGAGTTAACACTAAGTTAGAAACTTAGAGAGAAACACTTAAATCTAAAAGATTTAAAGTAAACAAAATTAAGATAGAGTATATGGAGTGTAATTTTAGTAACAGTAACAAAGGAAATAAAAGAGAAGTAAATATTGAGAATCAAAAACTACCTAAGAGTAAACATTTTTGTTATCTAAGATTGATTATCACAATGACTAGTAAGATTGGAGCATATGTGGTCCATATAATTAAGGCGAGATAGCTTAAGTAGATGATTGCTTTTAAGGTACAGTGCGATAAATGAGTATCCACTAAACTAAAAGGAAAATTCTGTAGAACCTCTATTAGATCAGCGATATTGTATGAGACGTAATATTATGCAACTAAAAAATAACTTGTAGATAAGATGAACGTTTTAAGATGAGGATGCTAAGGTAGATGTGTAGTGAGACTATAAAAGGCAGGATTAGAAATGAGTCTATTCGTGAATGGGTAGAAGTAGCACTGATTAGGGCTGCAAAAAGGCCGAGACGAGTCGAGCTGAGCTTGAACTTGAGCTTGAGCTTGAGCTTGAGCTTGGCTTGTTTGCTTATCAAGCACGTTTATTGAGCTCAAGCTCGGCTCAAGTTCGGCTCGGTTTGTTAATATTGATAAAACTCGAGTTCGACTTAGCTCAGCTCGACAAGATTTTTTTAAAATATTATTTAAATACAAAATATTATTTATATTATTTAATATATATATATATATAATAATAATAGTATGCTTATTATGTAATTTACATAAAGATAAATGAGCTGAGCTTATTCGAGCTCGACCTCGCTTCGTTTACTAAATGAGCCAAGCCAAGCCGAGCTGAGCCGAGCTTTGCTTTCGTGAATAGCTCTATTCATTTGCAGCCTTAGCACCGATAGAAGATAAGCTGAAAAAGAATAGATTGAGATAGTTTGGTCATATACAACAGAGGCCAATAGAGTCAGTAGTGAAGTGATACGATACAGTGATTGTAGATAGAAATATTAGGAGAAAGGACAAATCTAGATTAACGTAAGCTAGTGTAATAAATAGAGATATGAATCTCGTTATTTTGACTAACAAAATAGTCTTTGATAGAGTCGAGTGGAGAAGGAAGATTCATATAACCGATTCCATTTAACGAGACTTAAGAGTTCATTTGACTTGATAGACATATAATTATTAGAAAAAATTACCATTCAGCCCATCATTCAGCCCGTTGTTTGTCTGTTGATTTTTGCAAATTTAAATGGTTTGATCAAATGCTACTAAGCCCAATGCACCAAAGGAGAGCCGCAAGCCCACCAAAATGTACGACAAACACAGGGTAAGGGAAAATAACAACACACTGTAGTTTTAGAAAAAAAATTACAAATCAATGATAAAATTTATAAATTTTGATAATTAAATGTTATACTTTTTCATGATTCTGTAAACTTTTTTATTTGTTACCACTGAATTTTAATTTCACACATAACAAAAAGGGTATGACTTTAAAAAGATGAGGTCCACTCCAATTATCTTCAATGATACGATCTCTTTTGCATTTCATTTGAACAACATGCAATTCCATTAACATTGTAAACCCTTATTTCTGGATCTTGCGTTCATACTTCTGTGAAGGTGAATTTGTATTACGTTGTCTCAAGCCAATAGATTCTTTTGTCTTGAAAGCCATTATCTACTTAGAAGTCATATTTCTTGGAGACAGAAATGTTTGATTTAAGGATTTGAGAAGAGATATAGAAAGAGAAAGAGAAAATATATATAAAATTATATAAAATATAAATATATTTTATTCATATTTTACCGTTCTTTTTCCATTGTCTTTTCAAATTCTTGAACCAAATACAGAATTAGTGTGCTGGAACACTGAATCTACCAACTGATCTACTTTCATGTTGTCATCTTCCATCATAGATGAATTAAGAAGTCCAGATGACTCCCTCACAGAAATTGGTTTTTTTCCCATGACATTTATTTGTCTGGAAGCTCTCTCTTCATGGTTTGTATTTAATATTTATGTTCAAACATTATCTTTGGATTGCTTGTATTTTTCTTATTATCTAATGAAGTTTTTATTAGCCACAAAAAAGTTCTTACTCTTCTGTTTTTTCTTCATCAAGGGACTATCATTTCCAAATCCACACAATAATCATGTAACAACAAAAACGAGTTTCTTTGAAGGAGTTAACCCAGAAATCTGGCCGAGCCATGCAACGTGATTTTTGTTTTAAAACAAATATTCAATTTGTTTGGTTTAAATTTTCTGGATTAAATTTTTTGAAAACTAAATTTTTTATTTTTCGTACTTTTTTGTTTTTAGTTAATATTTTTAAAATTTTAAACATTTTAAAAAATTTTTTAGATGCACCTTACTTAGATGTATCTAAAAAGTAAAAAATTTGTGAAAAAATATTTTAAAAAAATAATAAATACATAAAAATACAAAAAAAAATGTACTAAATTCTCATATTTTTTTTTAATATTTTTAGTATTTAGTGAATTTTTAAAACGTTTTTTTCATAAGTGTTTTACTTTTTAGATATATTTATGTTAAGTACATCTAAAAATTAAAAAAAATATTAAAAATATTAAAAAAATTCATTAAAAACAAAAAAATACGAAAAATAAGAAAGTAAAATTTTTTGAAAACTATTTTCAGAAAAACGAATGTTTTCAGAAAAACAAAACCAAACAAGCTGAAATTTCTTTTTTTTTTTTTAACAAAAAAAAAACCTACTTCAAAACTTATATCAAACACCCACAACTCCTTTGCATATACTTACTAAACACACAGAACACGAAGAACTCCTAGACCTCTCCGAGTTTTAAAGCCAGAAGATAATAAATGAAATTTTTCTCACATTTTCCTTTTTCCCTTTCCCTTTCCCTTTCCCTTTCCCTTTCCATTTTCAAATCTCTATCCAAATCCATGATCCAAACACAACTTTAAAGAGAGGGAACATTAATGAAATATAAGATAATTTTTTTCTCCATTTCCCTCACCTTTTCATTTTTTACTTTTTAAATTCCTACTTAAATCTATGATCCAAACACAATCTAATAGTTTAGACAGTAGTCTCCAAATAATAGCCACACACAGCATCCCCGACTAGAATTGAACTTCAGTGTCATCCCTCTAGTCTAATGAAATTCACTTACTACCACACACCAAATATTATACAATTAATGGCACTTATAGTAACAAAATTTTAATTAGCATTGAATTTTTCTTTTGATTTCATTAGACTATTCCTCAGCCATAGTGTCTGGCTATTTGTATTGCAAAAAGAAAATTTTGATTTCATACTTCACATTGATCATCAATACTTCAGTTGTAGCACCGAGCTGCTGCGCATCCTTGATAAATTTGTCAGATTTTGTCATTACTTATTTTTTTAGAAGAAAGAAAGAGTTGATGATGACGGATCCTCAAGAGGAGGGTACAATTGATAGAAATTGAACTATCTCTAGACGGCCTTATCATTTTATGGATTGTTTGTAAGAATCACAACTTTATACCAGACTTTCAAAATTTGGTCAAAGAAAATTTCTAGTTTACCATCTTCAAGGAAACGACTCTATTTTTTGTTTGAAAGATAAATGCCAGAAATTATGGCCACTCCAGCAACTGCAGCTCCGAGAGTTGCGAGGATCTTCACAGCAGATATTGCTGGCTTCTGTGAAGGTAAATCTACACCTAGAAGATGCTTCACCTGCAACACGATCAAGAAGGAATTCAGGAACATGATATACTCATTCATGGCAGAAGATCTAATTCAAAACCATTTAACATATTCTCTTTCAGACTTGAGGGAATAAGGAAGCAAAGGAAACAAGACCAATCTCAAAAGGAATGTAACATTTAAAAGAAAGTTGGCCAACTTTGGTATTTCAATCCACAAAAAGGTGTGAATTGGCATGTCCAACCCATTGCAGCATACTTTTACAAGTAATATGCAGCTAATTAATTCTACTTTGGGGAAAAAAAAAAAAAAAAGAAGATCTCTAACCTCAACTGGCTGCTTCCAATGCTTCTTAATTCCCTGCATATGCCCCTTTCCAATAACTGCGACAACTGAACTGTGCTCACTAGCAACCCTTAATAATGTGGACGACATATACCTGAATATGCAATTAACTTAAAGATATTAATTAATAACCGAAAAGGGTAGAGAAACTTACGAATAAGGTATATCCACTATATAAACCTTCCTCCTAGGCCTTTTGCCCAAGATCATTTTTTTCTGTTCTTATCGGTTTAATATGTCCAGCAGACATCAAAAGAAGTGGAGTTATGGACACACACAAAGTAAATATACAAGAGACAGACCCCATGCACAAGGGCAGATGCATATTGCAGTAAGCTTCGGAGTAATTATTTTTCAAGGAAGTTCTAAAGCTAGCAGCATCATTTTTCAAATTACTAGTATCCACTTCTTGCATGTGGTGACTGCCATGAATCTCATGATTATTTCACTTTCTACATATAACATATATGCAAGTTAGTGCGTGTAAGTAGTCATGTCACATGTATGTTGATTTCTCTTTCATTCACATGTTTACATTCACTATTGAACCCAATTAGATGAAGCATAAGAAATATATCCGGGTGAACAACATAAAGCTTTCTTTTTAGTTGGTCTTTTTCTAACACATCAATTTGAAGTGAGAAGTATTACCTACCAATGAGTGCCTCTCTATGCAAACTACACACCGCCATAAAAAAGTATAAAACAGAGGGACCTTAACAGAATCCTTCTATTTTTAAAGATCAATAATTAAAAACTAGATGAGAGAACAGCGAGAAAACTAATATAAACAGTATCCCAAAAATATGTGACAATCAGCATAATAGGAATATGGAAGTAAGAGATACTTACAGATCTCGCTCATGTACAAGGGTTTCCATTAGAGTGGGGAACTCCTTGCTCATCTCTTGAATCACAAGAGTCAACATATCAACATCATCCATTTCCTTCAGCTGAAGTAAAAGCCAATTAAACTCACAGAAATAAGTAACATAATACTAATTCCTTTATTCAAATTTCAATTACATTTACAGATAGAAACTGCCAGTTGGTGGCAATAAGTTGTGAAGATAAGAAAGCTTACCATTTTAGTAAGATCTTCAGGGCTCGGTAAAAATAATGCTTGGAAAAGTAAGGAATAGATTAATTTTGTCTTATGCCAAAGCGGCATCTTTGCCCATGTCCTTCGTAAAGTTATCTGTTCAGTTAAAATCAAAGATCACAAATCAGTATGTTTACAATGAAAATTTAGTTACAGCCATTCAAAAACACGAGACTCAGGAGAAATTACTCACAAAATATCAGAGATAGGCAAGAATAATAATCAATACAAGTCATGTACAAATTATTGGCACATGAATTTTGGAAGTTGCCAAAAAATTGCCATTATAGAAATTCAAACACTCAAAGAAGAAAAAACCTAAATTTGGATATTGATAAAAGTATCTTATGGAGACAGACTTGTAAAGGCCCAGATCCCAAAAAAAGCAAAAGAAGCTAATTCTGGAAGAGACCAGACAGAAATATATGCTTGACAGAATTTGTTGGTGGCCATTGTTAGAGATTCGCAAATACTATTGCTCAATGGAACCAAAAATCAGGGATAATGCATGGATCAGATTCCACACCCACACCCTATGTTACGTAGAAGGTAGAACGTGGATCGTTTCGATACGTAGAACAAGAACTCGCGATATGTGACATGCTCTAAAATGTGATATGATAAGGGTAGGCTTATATATATTACACTTAAGAATATAAGGTATTTCTAGAGTAATTTTCTCCTAACTATTAGGTATCCAATAAATATATATATATTCATTTTTGATATTTTTGTCTTGTCAAAACTTAAGCCATCTTAAATTTACTTCATTATATTTGATTTTTTTTCCTTCTAAGGTAAAAACCAAACCAAACCAAACCAAACCAAACCAAACTAAATCTTAAGTCCCATCAAATGGAGTCGACTACATGAATCATTCTTCTCCACACTTCTAAGGTAACATTTAAGAAAATATATTAGAAAAAACTTTTGGAATCGCTTTGAATCACTAAATTTACCGTTTTAGAATGAAAGTGTACCATGTTTCGAAAACATGTGTACCAATACGTACTTCGATAGGGTATTAGCGTTTTCTGATAACACAGGCCACACCCCACACCCTTCTCTCTCAAGGAGAATTCTCTTTGAAAGAAGGATGCAATAAGTGATGTTTTGCAAGTACAACCAATTCTGATATCTCTGCAAAAGTAATAGGATTTTCAAAACCCATAAATACTTACTGGCAGATAGTGTAGGAAGGGCAGGAAGTGGGTAGAGTTGAATTTGAAGGTTGTGGGCTAAGAAGCACAGACACTTTTATGGAGAAGATGTGTAGTGCTAGATACCCATGTCAGAAAAAATACTTTACGGACCCTCCTAAAAGTGAGTCTGCCTTTTTCAACTTGTCTTATTTAAAATTGTAAATTCAAAATATCAGACACTTTGGCAACACTTCTTGACCTCTCCAAATCACAACCAATGTGATGAATCTCTTCAAAGTAACAATGCTTCGCATTCTTCATAATACAATTTGTGCACTCTAAATATGTTTGGAAATATTTATAAAATGAATACATCATGTTTGTTTCAATCTTCTACAATTGTTCTGCATTCTTTAAATGCAACTGTTACGTAACCGATATCTTGATGTTTAAGACATAAAATATATGGCTTTTTAAGTTTAGTTAGCGTCATGTGACTTCTTTATTTAATTAATTTGAATAACTATTCATATAGTTGACATATAATAAACTTTTGACATGTGTCCCAGTGAATTGTGTTCTGCATTTTTCGAAAATTGTCATGTCGGTGTGTTTGTGTAGTGTCCATGTCATGTTGCAATCTGCGTCTATGCTACTTAGGTTGTAGGGATAACTTGAATTCTGGAGAACACAAGCTAAACAAAATTTAAAGAGGAAAGTAACTTACCTGTATCGGACGATCACCAAGTATCACCTTGGCACCATACTTCGATGCTTCTTCAAATGCCACACGAAACTCGGAACCAGGTAAAACCTCTAGCTTACTAGCAACCTAACAAAATAATAAATAAATAAATTACATACAAATGGTGAAAAGATTAGGATGAGAGTACCAAAGATGAATATAGTACTACACTAGTGTAGCTAAACTGAAGAGGGTGAAAAATGTAAAACTTCTGCAGCAATTTATATAGAAACTGGAGGGTTATAATGATCATGCCTTGGCAAGAAACCAGCTGTAGAGTATTCCAAAGATATTGTGCTGTTTCTTCCACAGATCCAACATTTCCGCCATGGTTGGTACCTGGTGATAAACTAAAAGATGAGTACTAGTGCAAGTAAAATTTAGAGAAATGACTATTAAAGATGAGAAGTATTATGCAGATATAGATAATAAATTACTTTTAAGTCAATAAAAAGATTGTAGCAACCAGTCAAAAAACATGCAGCTGATAGACCAAGTTAAAAAGACAGTTCAAAATGTAATGGCTTGACAACAAAATTTCTGACAAACACAGAGATGTACATAGGAAACGGGTTCAAATACCATGCTTATAAATACAAAACTAAATGAAAATTTTTTTGACATATTTTTACACAAGCAAGAGATGCATATTGCAAATGAACAAAACAAGGTAGAGACAATCTGTACTAAAGACCTACAATACAAGTATTACCATATGTCAACTCCAATGCCAAATATATAAGGGGTATAAAAGTAATTTCACTTTGGGAAAATTCGGGGATGGGGCCGGGGACGGGGACGGGGCTGGGGATCGGGCCGGGCCGGGGATCAAACACTGATCACCGTCCCCGGCCTGTGACAGATCGGAGATTGATTTTCAAATACCGTCACCTCCCTGTCGGGGGTATTTTTCGGGAAAAAACCGCTTAAATCGGGGTCGGAATCGGGGATTCCCGTCGGGCCGGTTTCAAATTGCCATCCCTACTCCAATGCCCTCTAACGAAATCCAAGCAAAATTGGCAAAATTGTTGACATACAACCCGAAAAAGAAACTGAACAGAAAATATAAATTGGCAAAATTGTTGACATACAACCCGAAAAAGAAACTGAACAGAAAATATGAACCACTTCTAAATAGACTTCCATGCCTCGTAAAATATAATTGTTTCTTTCTTTCCAAGTGCCATATAAGACATCACAATGGTCCTACACCTTCTCAGTGAAAAACTTCAATATGCCCAAGAGAAAAGCAAATCAAGCAAAATTGTAGGCATGCCTGAGCAAAATTATGACAACAAACAAAACAAAACAAAACCAAACCAAACTAAACCCGGTGTCCCAATCATGTGGGCTGGCTAAATGAATCACTTTTTGTTATTCTGCTTTGTCACTCAGTTAAATTAAACAAATTCATATAATTTTTCAATATATCCCATCCCATGTCAATTTAGGTCTTTCCCTCCCCCTAACATTGCCATTTACAATAATCATATCACTTTTCTTGACTGTTGCATCTTCAAGTCTTTGTTGTACATTACCAAGCCTATTCTCTCTCAACTTATTCAATTAGTGCTACACCCACTATTTCTAAAATATATTCATTTCTAATTTTGTCTTTCTTAATCTTCTCACACATCCATCTAAGCATACCCATCTTAGCTAATCACTCATTTTATGCAAGTGTTGTTTCTTAGTAGCCCAACATTCTATCTCATAAAGCATCGCTGGCCAAAATCATCAATGATAATAAGGCAATGGATTGAGGGTGAAAAAAGTTAGTGGAATTTAAGGGGGTCCAAAAGTTGGAATCATTCTCACACATAAAACACCTGTTCAGTATCACTATTTCTGGTTTGTGTCAATGAGGTGATAATTAATAACATTTGACTTGTTCTCTCATGCTATCATGCTGAGTATGATATATAAGGCAAACAGAATGTAACTTGTTGAAAGGTAATAACATAAATTGTTGCAAGACAAGGATATAAATGATTGTCACTCTTAAAACAAGCAAAGGATATCAAAAGGACATTTCAAGGAATGCAACCCAACAATGCCCCAACTTGAAAATTGCTAAATGCCAGGCGAAATATAAATTGTTGCAAAACAAAGGATATAAATGATATCAAAAGGACATTTCAAGGAATGCAACCCAACAATGCCCCAACTTGGAAATTGCTCAGTGCCAGGTGAAATATTAGATGTTAGGAGGATTTAATTATGGATAAAGAACCCAAACTAAGGTTGTGTGGGGATTTTGCTTTTCAAACTTCCATTTTTTTTTATTTTTTTTATTTTTTGGGCGGTGGGGGGAATTGATTCTCAAACCTAAAAACATTATGCAGTTTTCATGAACCTCAAACCAACTTTTCTTGGCTAAATTATAAGTCACACGCCATAACACTTTTATTGGGTATGGAAACAAGCCTCCTTTACCCCTATGCTTCAAACATCTTACACATTCAATCAATTTTATTTATTTATTTATTTTTTCCCTAAAAAAGTTGACCTAGGAAAAATTACATTTCAAATTCCTAAAATAAAAAGGTTGCCAGGGCACTTTCTCTTATAGCTTAATTAGATAGATACATAGATAGTTGCTCATGGGCATACATAAGGGAAATGTATTATGTATGCATTTAATAGGCCCATCACATAAAATGCTAAAAATTGAAAATAAATAAATACATAAAAACATAGGGGAGATAATTAAAAAAAAATAGAGGAAAATAAATTACTAGGTCATAGTTTTCCACCAGTTCATAGCTTAAATTGTTTGACCCAGTCCAGAGTGAAGGTACAACAGGGTAGCAGTTAACCTGTTTAACATTAGAATTGCTTTTGATCCTACAAGCTTGTTATCAAGTTTTCTTCTGTCCATTCAACTATAGTTGGGTCAAATATTGTACTAAATTCAGTAACTGCCAAACATGTTTCAAATCGAGGATAATGAGCATTCTGACACCTCCGGGTGGATTTGCTTGCCAGTGACCATCCATCGATTACTAGGACGTGGATAATTCTAGACACGTTGTATGTACAATATCTCATTAGCTGTTTGGTGACTTCTCTTGTATTAAATGCCTCTATTCTTGGATTAAGTTGGGTGTTGCAGGGATCAGCAGATAATTTCGAAAGGATAGTAGTTGAAGGTCTGTAATCGTCCCTTTTCACAAGCTTCAAAAGCAATACTTTTTTTCTTTTCTAATGCACCTGAGGAGAAGAATCTAAAAACTTTGAAGACAACGAGATCTGTACAGTCTTAAAATTGCATTTTTCAGATATCGGCTCTCTTAGATCTAAGTCAAAGCAGAACAAGATAAATTCTCTGTGATTTTGAATCAATTTGGTAATGGTATGGGGAACCTATGAAGCGAGAGGCATGCCCAGCTTGATCTCTAGCCAATCCAGTGTTGTTTCTTTCTAATCAATACATTTTCCACCATAAATTATCAAATGATCAAGTTCTCTACATTTTGGACAACACAAACTTCATCTAAATAACAATGGTCTCCTGCTTAGATTCTTAAAGAAGCTAATTTTGATCCCTTCCTTTGTGGTTGGTGTGAAGACTAAATAAAAGGTATGCTGAAGAGAAAAACCATTTTCCACTGCACAGATCTAACATACAGGGGCATGCTGGGTACAAGAGTGTCAGGACCTTCAAGTCATATATATTCAAGATATACAAAATTCAAAAGCAACAGACTTCAAGGACAAAGTAGGCATGCTCAAAGAAGATCAACAAGCTTCCACATAATATGGCCCCCAAAATGATATCTTAGAATCTACTAAATGGGATTGGGAAAAAAACAAAACAAAAAGAAGCAAACAAAGAAAAAAATCCAGACCCACCTTTCATGAATGGGCCATTAATGTCAACAAATGAGCTCATATATGCTTGATCTAAAACATTTGAATATTTTCTACTCTTCCAAAACACAACATGGTAACGCTTATAAATAGTTAATAAAATACCTCGTTAAATCTCCCATATTGAATTTCAACAAAAGATAGCTATGTACTAAGATAACGGGAGGAGGAAAATGACATATTACCATCCTTTGCAAAGCAAGCTTGCCCAGAGATGATCATCTAAAAGTTAATCATGGGAAAAACAAACCAAAAGAGGATTGAACTAATATATACAAGAAACTGACACAGACCTTTAAATTCTGAAGAGTAAGTACAGGCACACGACTTGAGCATAGTTCCAAGAAAACAGCCTGTAGTCAAAACATTCACACTTATTTAATGTCTCCATAAAAAGATTGAAGATGACTGCTGTAGTGAGCCATATGAAGCAGGCAATCAACCTGCTCAATGATCTGCCCATTATCAAGTTTTACTGAGTTTCTAAAAGGAAAGCACCTGTGGTTTTAGAAAACTGATTACAGCTTGAACTTCTTGGCATGATTCCTGAAACCACATACACAAAGATCAGTAGATCCTTTAATAGCTCTTAGTGTTAGTTCTTCGTTTTTCTTCCTCGTAACTTGGAGAACAGAATGGGATTAAATCAATGAAGAGTCAGGATGAACAACAAAAAACTGATGCTTTTAAAGCAAATATATATAGAAGAAAAATCGAAGAATAGGAAAGCCTTTTTTTCAGAATTTATATATTCAACATGAAAACCACTATATATTGTAGATAATATCCAATTCCTGAAACCAGTGTTGAAAAGCAATCTGCAAACAACTAGCGTTCGTCATGTATTCAAAAATGGACAGGCTCATTTGAATCAACCTAGTTTTTGGGCCAGAAGACAAACAAGCTTAGCATTTTTCAGCTTTTCTGCACCTAATTTCTATGTGCTTTGCTGAAAATTTGACCAAATGCACCCCTTGTTGCCCCACCAAACAGCATAATTTCAAGACAGAAAATATCTGCACCAGCCAAAAGTTCTAGACCTTATGGTGTTCTAGAACTCCTTTTAACGTGGTCTTCTTTACTTGGACAATTGCACAAGAAGTTATTTTGACAATTGATAATCTGTGGAGAAGGGGGAAAATTTTTGATGGATTGGTGCTACATGTGCAAGAGTGAGGTGGGAAGTGACAACTATCTTTTTACGCCATTGTTATTTATGATGCCCTATTCAGTTCAGCATTTGTTTGCCTTTTGAAGGAGAGGTTGTCCAGAGGTAGTTTTTGTAGAGTGTGGGAGGTTATTCCTCTTTGCCTCATATGGTGCTTGTGGAATGAGAGAAAACAAAGGTGTTTTTGATAATTGTGAGAGGATTATTTTGTCTTTCAAAGGCATTATTTTTATTTCCTTGTATTTTTTGGCTTAGGGAGACTTTTCCTTTGTCCATACTTGATTTTGTTGACTTATTGAGAGAGTTGCACATCCCTGTAGATGCATAGTAGAAATACATTTTTGCTTTATGTTTACATGTATTGTGACTTTATTTTTACTGTTGCCCTAACCTTTCATTAGCTCCTATAAAAGCCCTCCATTCTTTTTGATTTTTATTTGTAATTTTTTGTTTTATTTTATTAGAAACCAAAAAATGGGAAAATTATGGAAGAAATCAAGAACAATTCTTTGGATCGCTAAATTTAGCACTTTGGAACAAAATGAAACATACTATAAGACATGCCTGCCAATGTGCAAATCACTAAGATGCGAGCGCTTTTTGGTAACTTTGTAAATGAGCACTGGTGAATGTCTGGACATCTGAGACCTGAATGAACATAATAATGACTGAATTTCAGGGAACCGTAACTCATTGTATGATGTTGTGTAAAATATAGTGCCACTCCTATTGGATATCACAAATTGCTCCGCAATATCAATGGTCAACAACAGCAAATCCCCACAGGATAACAACAACAAATTTAAGATCATTGAGAACAATCTAAATCTAAAAATCTAAAAATATGAAAAAGGGAAGCCTCAAAGGTATTCATTTTCACTCCCAGCACTATTTCTTCCCAACATAAAAAAACATAGTACAAAATTTTCAAAAATTGTAATTGACAGCATTTTCATAAACAAAACTCAGTTGCTTCTAAATTCCATTGTTCAAGTAATTTCTTGACAATGCACAAACTCAAACCTCAATTTAATTCAAAAAAATTGCATTGTTAACCTTCATGTGATGACCTTTGTGTGTGAGCGAGTGCGCACATTCTGTGCTTGTGTGGTTACGTAAAAATGTAACACAAACCTCCAATCAACTGATCTTTAAACAATTATCCGCACAACAGTAATCAATTTCCCCAATTCTCCAACAAGATTTCAACACCAAAAGATAAGAGAAGTCAATTTTTTTGGCAGCCAAACAAAAAAGAACCAAGAATTGAAAATCAATACAAGTACCTGAGAAACGTGAGCGGTTCCAACCAAATAAACATCGCAAATCCCCCCCTCCGCTGACGATTCACAAGAAAGCGTCATCACACTCCGCGAAAGCTCCTCCGGCAGCACCGGCCTCTGATCACCTCCATCTCCGACATCCGCATCCACATCTTCGCCTCTATCTTCATCCACAGACGAAATGCTTTGAACTAGGTTTTCAATATCAACAAGGCTAGGGTCTTGGCGCACAGGGGATTCAGGGCCGTCGATGCTCACAAAGTCATCCCCGGCCGGCGGTGGCGCGTCCATGGCCGTCGAGAGTAAGTTAGGTTTCCGGCGTCCGGCGGCGAAGGAGGCGGTTCGTTTGTTGTTGTTAGCGATTGAGAATTGTCTGCGTGAGGGCTTGGTGGTGGTGGAGACACCGGCGAGAGATCTGACCGTTGGATTGAGACGGAGGTGTGTGATAAAGAGGCGTGACTCGGGCGAGTTGACAAGGATGAGGGCCAGAGTCGATCGATTCATACGATCAACTCTGTGTGTGTTTGTTTGAGTCTTGCGAATCTTTCTTGAGTTTTCAACTTATCTATCTTTGCCGATGTAACGTGCGTGTAGATTGATTCGTACTTTCATTCTATAAGCCGTCTTATTTAGCAAAACAATAAAGCTTCCGACCCCATGGGTGGGGGTGTTGGGGTCGTGTGTGTCGAGTCGGGATTGGTTAAAAAAAAATTATTATTGTTATTTTTTTTTTGTTTTCCGTGAATAGCATGTTGCCATGTCACTGGGGTCGGACTTCTATTGGGGGTCGGAAGTAAGGTTCTTTAGCAAAATCAACAAGTCATTAACGCCAAGTTTGGCATGTACTTAAAAAGTTAAAAATTCAAAAAGTTATTAAAAAAAGTTAAAAAGTTATTATTATTTCTCACAAATCAAAAAGTACGGCTGCATAACTTCTCATCTTAATTTTTTCCTACACACTAATTTATATAATTTTTTAATACACATTTTCTCATAAAAGTCAAAAAGTTAACTCAAACAACCATACTTTTTTTCTTAACTTTTTAATCCAAAAAGTCAAAAAGTACACTTATTTAGGACATCCCAAACAACTCCTAAAATTGCACATATTATTGTTCGGTTATAGACTTTTTAAAAATAATTTTAAGTTTGTTATTCATATGTTTTTGAAAAAATTATTTATAAATCTCATTTTGATAAATGTTACTCTAATTAGTTCTTAGTGTTTTTTCTTAAACCATTTAGTCCTTTATATTTTTAGTATGATATATGTTTTTGATATATTATGTATAGAGTATATATTCTTGCCCATATTGTGATTTCATTTTGATTTTGTCATGGTGTATGCGTTTAAGGATATTGTAACATTACTATTTTGTAGGAGGGGATTTCATGTACTCTTCTAAAGGTTGTTTCACCATTTTAGTGTTTGATTCATAATGTCCTATTTTGGAACATCACAAAACAAGATGACCACTGGAACGTCACAAAAACAATATCGGCAACATCATCAACATCAGCAACATTAGCAACACAGAACTGGAACATCTATCATGCCAAAAATAGCATCAGCAACATCATTAGCAACATTAGTAGCATCACAAAACAACATCAGCAGCATCATCAACATTAGCAACATCATCATCGCAAAACAACATCAGCAACAAACACAGTAGTTCACGATCACACCAACGTATTCTTCTATTAACATCAACTAATACCAAAAAGCTTTGATGTTTCACCCACACTGTGAACGACGCCTCCGACAGACTGACGTAAGGTCATCGGTGTTCCACCGACTATGTTAATCGCAGGCCGAAATACCCCCACGCCCACGTCGTTTCGCAGATGCTGCTTTGGTAGAAAGGGTTTTCAAATGTTAGGGTTTTGATTGGGTTCACTAATGTTATTTACGAAAATGAAATTGAATAAACGCGATTAACATCAACCAATACCAAATAGCTTTGATGTTTCACCCACACGGTGAACGACGCCTCCAACAGACTGACGTAAGGTCACCGGTGTTTCACCGACAACGTTAATCGCAGGGTGAAATACCCCCATGCCCACACGGTTTCGTAGATACAATGTTGGTAGAAAGGGTTTTCAGATGTTAGGGTTTTGATTGGATTCACTAATCACTACAACAAAAATAGTCTTTAGAGACGAAAACTAATGACGAAATTTTTTTTTGTCACGAAATACGTATCTTTTAATGAGGAAAATCATATTTCGTCTTCAAATGTACCATTTTTGGAGACAAAAATAAAATTTCGTCATCAATCGTTTAAAATAAATAAAATAATAGGTGACAAATTTTTTTTTCGTCTCTAAATTTTATTTTTCATCGCAGAATAGATTCCCGCCCTTGGAAATTTTGGTAGAAAATTTGGGCGCCATATTAGAGATGAAAAATTCCGTCACCATTGTAAAAAAAATTCAGAGACAAATAGAAGTTCGTCACTTATAATTTAAGGGGACAAAACGACGTTGTTTTGTCTTCCCAAATCAGTCTACCCAAATCACTCCTCTCTCGCGCTCTTTCTCTCACTCTCACCCAGTCTCGTCTCTCTCTCTCTGGTCTGAACTCGTGAAACCCTCTCACTGATTTCTTCCTTGCCCTCTCACATGCACACGAGCACTACCGGAAACCCCCTCTCTCCGTTCGAATCACACCACCGGAAGCCCTCTCTCTCCGTTCGAATCGCACCACCGGAAGCCCTCTCTCTCTGTTCGAATTGCACCACTGGAAGCCCTCTTCTCTGTTCATTTTGCTTCACTGATGTGACACCACCGGAAGCCCTAATCTCCGTCCATTTCATACTAGGTATCTTCTTTTCTATATATATATATGTACATATATTGGCCCGTCATACTCATTCCATACAACTTGCCACCTTGGTTGGTTATGAAGGATCCATTTTCTTTGATGTCATTACTTATTCCTGGAGAATCGCAACCAGGGATTGATATTGACGTCTACATGCGACCATTGGTAGATGAGTTGAATGATTTATAGACAAATGGTGCATTGACTTACGACGCCTCCACCAATGAGACTTTTCGAATGCATGCAGCTTTGTTGTGGACAATACATGATTGGCCTTCATTTGGTGACATATCTGGGTGGAGAACAAAGGGTCATTATTCTTGTTACACTTGCAATGATGAACCGTATTTTCAATCTCTGAGAAGTAAGACAGGGTACACTAACCATCGATGTTACTTGCCTGAGAACCACCCAGAAAGGCGAAAGAGTAGGGCTTACAATGGTAAGATTGAGAAACGGAAGAGATCTTTGGAGTTGCCGGCGGAAAAGATATAAGACCAGTTGGACAACGTGACAGATGTCATATATGGAAAGCATCCAAGTAATAGAAAAAGGCCCCGTCAAGCACCTAATTGGACAAAGGTAAGCATCTTGTATGAGTTACCCTATTGGAAGAAGCGAAAACTTCGACACAATATTGATCTCATGCATGTGGAGAAAAATTTTAGTGAAAATGTTTTCGGAACTATGTTAGGCATTGATGGAAAGAACAAGGACACAGAGAAAGCACGATTAGACTTGGAAGATATGGATATAAAGAAAGAGCTATGGCTAACACAACGACCCGATGGATCATATGTCAAGCCTCGAGCAATCTTTTCATTGACACCTGCAGAGAGGGAGGGTTTCTTTGAATTTTTAAAAACTGTCAAGTATCCAGATGGGTATGCGGCAAACATATCCAAATCAGTGAATGCAAGAAATGGTAGACTAACAGGCCTAAAAATCCACGACTGCCATGTACTAATACAAAGAATTCTTCCCATTGGAATGCGTGGTTACGTGGATAAAGAAATTAGCACAACACTTTTTGAGTTAGGTAATTTCTTCCAAGACTTATGCTCTAGGACACTAAGGCAGAGCGAACTAGAGAAATTAGAGGAACGTATAATACACATTTTATGCAAGCTTGAAAAGATCTTTCCTCCAGCCTTCTTCGATGTGATGATCCACTTGGCTATTCATTTGCCTCGTGAGGCTATTCTTGGAGGACCCGTACAATATCGATGGATGTACCCAATTGAAAGGTATTTTTACAGTAAATGAGATTTACGTAAGTGTGTCACATATGTAATTATACTCCTAATTCGTTCTCTCTTGAAGGTTTATGGGAGCATTAAAAAAATATGTGACCAACCGAGCTCGACCAGAAGGTTCAATTGACGAGGCTTACATTGTCAAAGAGTGCATTACTTTTTGTTCAATGTATGTTGATGGGATTGAAACCGTGCATAATCGACCAGAACGGAATGAAGATCGCGGTGAACGTCAACAAGGGTTAACAGTATTCACAGAAACTGCACGTCTAATTGGTTGAAACCGTGCATAATCGACCAGAACGGAATGAAGATCGTGGTGAACGTCAACAAGGGTTAACAGTATTCACAGAAACTGCACGTCCAAATGGTCTAATCACATGAGATGCTGAATGTCTCAAGAAATTCGTGATATTGCTCATTGGTTTGTGTTGTACAATAGCCCGGAGATTGAAAAGTATTTGGAGTATGTGTTTCATTGAATTATGTTTATGCTTAGCTTTTTTATTTGTCGAACTACGTAGTAATCACTTTTTTTTTTTAATTTTTTTGAGTAGGGAACACAAAAATCTATTACAAACTCAAGCTAGACATGACATAACCCACATACAACGACAAGAATTTCCCAAGTGGTTCAAAGAGAGGGTAAAATATTTATAATTCTTCAACATTTACAACATCAACAAAATTAAATTTTTATAAAATGTCGTCATTCATAAATTATTTACTTATTGTTTGTTACATGTAATTGTAGATAAATACATTGAGAATAGAAGAGTCATTAGAGGCAACTGATGAATTGTGGTCATTAGCAAATGGTCCTAATTTGCTAGTGAAAGAGTACTCAGGTTGCATAATCAATAGCAGCCAGTTCCATACTCGAGATCTAGACAACCGTCGTACGAGTCAGAATAGTGGTGTGCTTACACACGGGGATTATGAAGGAAAATTGCATGACTTTTACGGTCACTTGTGCAAGGTTTTGGAATTTGACTACATATGTGGCAAAAAGGTTGTTTTGTTCCAGTGTGAATGGTACAACACCGGTAACACTGGTAGAAACAGAACAATACGACTTGATACATATTGCACAAGCATTGACGTCGCAAGTCGGTGGTACCAATCTGACCCATTTATCCTACCTAGTCAAGCTAAGCAAGTCTTCTATCTGAATGATACCAAATTGGGTGAGCCTTGGAATGTCGTACAAAGGGTGCAACATAGGGGTGTCTTTGATGTTTTAGACACTAGTGATGGAGAATTATTGGATCCTTTAGAAAATAATGATGTGTTCCAACAAGAAAACATTACTAATGTTGTTCCAATTGACATTGACCCAATTGTTCGATACTGTAGGGATGATGTTGAATTCAATGTTATTTCGGAAATAGGGTCATCAAATGCGATAATGGAAGAGAATAGAGATGATGAAAGAGATGAAGAACATAACATTCCTGATGTTGATATGGATCCTGATATGGATTATGATATGTAATTTTTAGTAGATCACTTTATTTTCGAA